TAAAGACATACTCAAAGATGCTGAGATAGGAATTGATCAACCTGACCCAATCAAAATTTAGGAGGAAAAAGATCACCACCATGAGGGGATTGAGGAAGTTCATCCGTCCAACGCCGATGGTCTTCCTCCAGCATGGAAGTCTTCTAAAGACCATCCCATCGATAATATTCTTGGTGATATCTCAAAGGGAGTAACAACTCGTTCGAAGGTAATTTTGTTATCACTTCGCTTTCGTTTCTCAAGTAGAACCTAAAAACCCAAAAGAAGCTTTACTCGATGAACATTGGTTCCTATCAATGCGACGACTCCAAGTTTAAGTTTAAGTTGAAAAGGGAGGATAAGTAAGTTTCCATGGCAGGAAACTTACATGGAGTACGACGACTCCTGATCCTAAGGTTAGGATGAAAGTAAGGAAAATGAATAAATTTCCATAGCAGGAAATTATAGGGAGTGCGGCGACTCCAATCCTAAGGCTAGGATGAGGGTATAAAAGAGAATGTTCATGACACGACACTTGCATGGAATGCGGCGACTCCGATCCTAAGGCTAGGATGAAAGGGGAAGGACTTAAAGTTTTAAGGGATTGACATGGCAGTCAATGGGAGGAAACCCTTTCCTTTGGGAATGATTAAAGGGAAGATGCTAACCAAATAGAGTTAAGAGTATAGAAATGAATAAAGACAGCATAATGTGAAAGGAAAACAAAAAATCATGTAATCTAATCACAATGGATATCATGAAGATCGACAAATTAAAAACATGTGTCCAGACTTAACAGAATCGAGTCATAAAGGAGTATATGAAATTAACAATACAATGATAAATTCAAAAATGTATGTCAAGAGTTAACTGACTAAAAACGAGAATTGTCAAAACTAAATTTAAGAACTAAGTAAAATCTAAATTAAGAATTAATTAAACAATTTAATTAAAATCTACATAAAACTAAATAAATCGAATTCAAAATATAAATTCTCCTTTAAACCAAATTCGATGTGAACCCTAATTAAAACTAATTAAATTTAACTAACCAAACTTAATTATAAAATTATAATCAAATTACAACTAAAATAAATTTAATTCTAAATTAGAATCAAATTAAAACTAATTGCACAAATTAAATTAAAAGAAAAACGAGGGGGGAGGGAAAAGAGTAAGGAGGGTGTTATGAAGAAGAACAAAATAGGCTTATGGCAACAGGTCCAGCTTCTTCATAAAACAAAATAAAAACAAAAGCACATTAGGCTGGCCAAAACGCCCACCCGAGCCCATAATCAAGTAAAAATAATAAGGAAGAAGGTCAGCAACCCTTCTCCCTCACAGCTCACTCCCTCACTGCAAATTCAACGACTCGCTATTAGTCGGCGGCGGCGGTTAAGCTTTTGCTCGCATCTACCGTTAACCTCACCTCTGTCTTCCGTCACAGCTCGCGCGATTGGGATGGGGATTCAAACGGAAATCAAAGAGTAAGCTTCTCCTATGCCAAATCAAATAATCAAAATACAGCATTGCGAGGTGGTTTGAACGAGTTTCACAACAACTAGGGACAAAATTTCATACCTCTGAGGAATTACGACGCGAAGGCTTCGGCAATGTCGAAGAAATCGAAGGCACATCTTCCTGCTTCTCCTCTTAATTTTGTGATGTCGCTACTCGTGCGTATGAATGATCTTCCCTCTGTTCTAAATGCGTATCAGTGATTGTGCTGATGATTTCCTACCTTGTCGTGTGTGTGTAATCGTGTAATCTATGATTCCTTGAATTTGCGATATAGTAACAATCTGTTTTTCTGCTCTTCAAACGTGTGTGATTGTGTGTATGCTTTTGTCCTCCCTTATTTTGTTCATTAATTTTCTCCTTTTATAAGTTCCCTAATAATTAAAATTCTGATGTTGAATTAAACACACGAAAATACGTTGTCGGAGATTGTTTGGAAGGAAACAGAGCTGTTATGAATCGTGCTTAAACGCTTGATGACGACTTTATTCTTGCTGTCGAACTTTCCGTTTTCAGAATTTGACGGCTATCATAACTTGCCATGCATTCTTGATTTCCTACCATAAGCTTTTTTTTGCTCACATGGTAGGCATCGCAAAAAAAATCCAGACCCGTCAGTCCGAAATTAGTGGAAAAAACCCAGTTTAAGTGGGTACGGGTGCGGACTCGATTTTTAATTATGGGTACTGAGATGGGATGCTACTATCCGCACCCGCCCTCGGTCAGATGGAATTTACTTTAATATCTCTATTTTAATTATTTTATTATTATATTTTTTTCCACCCATACCTAATCAATTCCTTTTCATTTCCTTCCTCAGTTCCTCTCGTCTTCAAATCTTCTTCCAAACAAAAGTTTTTGGTCGCGATTGTGTTTCTCCTCTATTTCTAAAATCAATGGTAGTTCATCTCTCCATTTTTATGTCTTTTATAGTTTCTCTTTATATCTTCTATTTGATTTTAATTTGATTTTTATGTCTTTCTTTGTCACTCCATTCTTATGTCTTTCATAGTTCTATATATTTTTTTCTTTCTATTTTTTTTAAAAGGGTTTTGTGATTTGAATGATTTCTAGGTGTTCAGTTTGTTTATCTCTCTATTTTTCATCAATTTTTCAATAGAAATTTACAAGTTAATAACAATATATTTTTAATTTGGATTGTGTCTACCAATTGTTTTTCAAATGTGAAAGAAGTTTTGTTATTGTTTCTGAAATAAATGTGATGCTAGTGAAATCTGTTATTGTTCTAAATTGATATGGTATCATTAAAAAGGATAGTCACAATATATCATTTTTTTCATAATGTAAGCAAGATAAAGTTCTGATATCAATCAAAGTAATATCATGTTAAATTTAATATGTTTTTGTGGCTGATTTCAGTGTTGCTCAGGTGGAATCAAGGTTTGTGGTTGTTGCTTCATATGTAAATCATCAAGTTTTATCAAGAAAGCTTCAGCATACATCATTGATATAGCTTCTTACTCGACATTCGACATTCGGTAATATTTTTGTACATTAGTGTGATACTGTAATATTTCTAAAATGTATGGATTGTTAATGTTTATTTCAAAAGATAATAGTGATTGCGGTCAAAATCATCAAAATTACAATGCAGTTGCGGTCTAATGCATCAGAAATATTGCGGCCATAATAGTGGTTGCGACCTATAATTTAAAACCACGTTTATAGTTTTTTGATACACTATGAAGGACATAGTGTTATCAAATGGATTCACTATAGCGCCGCAGCGTAACATTTTGACAAACCGCCATTTTTGATACACTATGAAGTACATAGTGTTATCAAATGGATTCACTATAGCGCTGCAGCGTAACATTTTGACAAACCGCCATTTTTGATACACTATGAAGTACATAGTGTTATCAAATGGATTCACTATAGCGCTGCAGTGTAACATTTTGACAAACCGCCATTTTTTCGTGATCTGTGATTTCTGTTGAATGTGTTGAAATGAAAAAAAGGTGGAAATACTTTCTTTTTGTTGATTGTTATACTAGGCGTATCCATTTGGGAAAGTCAATCAGTCAAGTTTCCTTTGTTGTTTTGTTCTGAACCTTGGCGAAATAAGTTAGAGTTAGCTTCTTACTTCTCCAATCATTGCAAGATAAAGTTCTGATATCAATCAAAGTAATATCATGTTAAATTTAATTGTTAAATTTAATTTGTTATTGTTTGCCCTTTCACTATTATTGTTCTGCTGTAAAGTGAATTATATTGCCATTTGGCGGATGCTATAAAGTGAAATCTTGTGGTTATGTGTTTGTAATAAAAATTATATATTATAATTACAGTGGCATTAGTACCTTAATATATTCCAAAAGAAAAACTATATATTATAATTCTAGTGGCAGAAATACCAACTTAGCGATTATAATTACAAATTTGTATTCATGTCGCCTGGGATGTATGCTTTTGCTTGTGCATTTTGATCATGTCGGATTCATGTTATAGAATATTAATAATTTTTAGTTTGTTCTTATGTACAACTCAACAGGATAAGTAGTCATGGAAAATGATGGTACCTCTCAAACACAATGTCTACCTATCTCACAAGAAAGTACACATCAACCAATCCCCAATGAAAGTGGTAACCAATCAGTCACCAAATGATAATATGGAGGTTGATAGCCAAACAACTGTAAGTCATCGATCCAGACATAGAAGTATTATATGGGATCATTTTACAAAGTTCAAAGTTGACGGAAAAGATAAGGCTAAATGTAATTATTGCTCAAAGTTGCTTAATGAATCATCAAATGATGGGACGACACATTTAAAAAAGACATATGGAATCTTGTCCTAAAAATAAGCTTTTAAAACCATCAGATAAAGGACAGACATTTACCCCTAAAACTATGCAAGGTAAACAAGAGTTGAGTACTGGAATTTATGATGCAGAAAATGCTAAGAAAGAGTTTGCACGTGCAATTATTTTGCATGAATATCCACTTTCAATAGTGGATCATATTGGTTTTAGAAGATACTCAGCTTCTCTCCGACCATTATTTCAAGTTCCTTGTAGAAATAGTATAAAAAAGGAGATACTCAAAGTTTACAATTTGGAGAGATCATTAACTTTGAAGTTGTTAGAAAATCTTGAAGGAAGAGCGATCATTACTTCTGACCTTTGGACCTCGAGCAATTAAAAAAAGATATATATGACTGTCACTGCTCGTTACATCGATGGAAACTGGAATTTACAGAGTCACATTTTGAGGTAAATCTAATTTCTTCTAATAATAGCTTATTGCATATTATATATACTAGTTTGATTGTATATTATTTATACTAGTTTTGTGAATCTTATTATGTTAGGTTTATTTATGTTCATGCACCACATACTAGTGAAAAACTTTGTGGAACATTAGTTGAATGTTTGATGGATTGGAACATTGATACAAAATTGTCTACTATCACTTTGGACAATTGTAGCAAAAATGATGCGATGATTGAAAAAATTAAGGCTAAGTTGAAACTGAAGACTAGCCTTGAAAGATGGAGACACTATCTCCTTTTCTTTTAGGTGTTGCAGTCCAAAATGCAACACTATCTCGAAGTTTCAACTTAGCCTTAATTTTTTCAATCATCGCATCATTTTTGCTACAATTGTCCAAAGTGATAGTAGACAATTTTGTATCAATGTTCCAATCCATCAAACATTCAACTAATGTTCCACAAAGTTTTTCACTAGTATGAGGTGCATGAACATAAATAAACCTAACATAATAAGATTCACAAAACTAGTATAAATAATATACAATCAAACTAGTATATATATAATATGCAATAAGCTATTATTAGAAGAAATTAGATTTACCTCAAAATGTGACTCTGTAAATTCCAGTTTCCATCAATGTAACGAGCAGTGACAGTCATATATATCTTTTTTTGATTGCTCGAGGTCCAAAGGTCAGAAGTAATGATCGCTCTTCCTTCAAGATTTTCTAACAACTTCAAAGTTAATGATCTCTCCAAATTGTAAACTTTGAGTATCTCCTTTTTTATACTATTTCTACAAGGAACTTGAAATAATGGTTGGAGAGAAGCTGAGTATCTTCTAAAACGAATATGATCCACTATTGAAAGCGGATATTCATGCAAAATAATTGCACGTGCAAGCTCTTTCTTAGCATTTTCTGCATCATAAATTCCAGTACTCAACTCTTGTTTACCTTGCATAGTTTTAGGGGTAAATGTCTGTCCTTTATCTGATGGTTTTAAAAGCTTCTTTTTAGGACAAGATTCCATATGTCTTTTTTAAATGTGTCGTCCCATCATTTGATGATTCATTAAGCAACTTTGAGCAATAATTACATTTAGCCTTATCTTTTCCGTCAACTTTGACCTTTGTAAAATGATCCCATACAATACTTATATGTCTGGATTGACGACTTACAATTGTTTGGCTATCAACCTCAATATTATCATTTGGTGTAGGAAGAGGAGCATCAACTGATTGGTTACCACTTTCATTATGGATTGGTTGATGTGTACTTTCTTGTGAGATTGGTAGACATTGTGTTTGAGAGGTACCATCATTTTCCATGACTACTTATCCTATTGAGTTGTACATAAGAACAAACTAAAAATTATTAATATTCTACAACATGAATCCGACATGATCAAAATGCATAAGCAAAAGCATACATCCCAGGCGACATGAATACAAATTTGTAATTATAATCGCTAAGTTGGTATTTCTGCCACTAGAATTATAATATATAGTTTTTCTTTTGGAACATATTAAGGTACTAATGCCACACTGTAATTATAATATATAATTTTTATTACAAGCACATAACCACAAGATTTCACTTTACAGCGTCCAGTTCATTATTGGTGCAGTGCAAATGGCAATATAATTCACTTTACAGCAGAACAATAATAGTGAAAGGACAAACAATAACAAATTAAATTTAACATGATATTACTTTGATTGATATCAGAACTTTATCTTGTAATGATTGGAGAAGCAAGAAGCTAACTCTAACTTATCCAGCCAAGGTTCAGAACACAACAACAAAGGAAACAACTTGACTGATTGACTTCCCCAAATGGATACGCCTAGTATAACCATCAACAAAAAGAAAGTAGTTCCACCTTTTTTTTCATTTCAACACATTTCTGTCAATGGCAGATCACGAAAAAATGGCGGTTTGTCAAAATGTTATGCTGCGGCGCTATAGTGAATCCATTTGATGACACTTTGTCCTTCATAGTGTATCAAAAAACTATAGATATGGTTTTAAATTACAGGTCGCAACCACTATTATAGTCGCAATATTCCTGATGCATTAGACCGCAACTGCATTGTAATTTTGATGATTTTGACCGCAATCAATATTATCTTTTGAAATAAACATTAACAATCCATACATTTTAGAAATATTACAGTATCACACTAATGTACAAAAATATTACCGAATGTCGAGTAAGAAGCTATATCAATGATGTATGATGAAGCTTTCTTGATAAAACTTGATGATTTACACCTGAAGCAACAACCACAAACCTTGATTCCACCTGAGCAACACTGAAATCAGCCACAAAACATATTAAATTTAACATGATATTACTTTGATTGATATCAGAACTTTATCTTGCTTACACTATGAAAAAAATGATATATTGTGACTATCCTTTTTAATGATACCTTATCAATTTAGAACAATAACAGGCTTCACTAGCATCACATTTATTTCAGAAACAATAACAAAACTTCTTTCAGACATTTGAACAAACAATTGGTAGACACAATCCAAATTAAAAATATATTGTTATAAACTTGTAAATTTCTATTGAAAAATTGATGAAAAATAGAGAGATAAACAAACTGAACACCTAGAAATCATTCAAATCACACAACCATTTTAGAAAAAAATAGAAAGGAAAAAAATATAGAACACAAGAAGATAAAGAAAGACTATGAAAGACATAAGAATGGAGAGACAAAGAAAAACATAAAAATCAGATTTAGATCAAATGGAAGATATAAAGAGAAACTATGAAAGACATAAGAATGGAGAGATGAACTACCGTTGATTTTAGAAATAGAGGAGAAACACAATCGTCGACAAGTCGCGACCAAGAAATTTTGTTTTGTAAATTGTAACTTGCTGTATACTTGTGTTGACTGTTGAGAGGAAGAAGATTAGAAGACGAGATGAGAGGAACTGAGGAAGGAAATGAAAAGGAATTGATTAGGTATGGGTGAGAAAAAATATAATAATAAAATAATTAAAATAGGGATATTAAAGTAAATTCCATCTGACCTGGGGCGGGTGCGAGGCGGGTAGTAGCATCCCCTGCCCCCGTACCCGCACCCGTAATTAAAAATCGGGTTTTCCCCGCACCCGTACGCACCCAAATCGGGTTTTCCCCGCTAATTTCGGGGCAGGGCCCGACGGGTCTGGGTTTTTTGCCATGCTTAACTGTGGCTTCAGTTCTTCATAGAATATTTGCAATCAAAGTGTAACCTTTGTATTTATCTTTGTAAAGCTTCTTAATTTCTTCAAGTAATCAAGTCCTTATCTATCCAGAAAAAGATCAGTTGGAGTGCAGATCAGGAATATCCTTTAGGTAGCTGGCAACTTGAAATAATGTTGTTACGCGGGGATAAAAATCATACACAAATATTGTCTTTTGTACTATCAAATCAGGGCAGTGGAATGATATTGGAATGAGACGTTAAAATGTACTATGTAATAATTTCCCTCATAGACGTTTGAGCTTCTCTTCTTTACATCATAGGTTTCTGAATAGAGATGACTGAAGCATGAGTAGAAGATTCTTCAGTAGGTCTTCAGAGTCTTGAGTCCTCGGAGTCTTCAGAGCTTGTGCACCAGAACCTTGTCTTCAGAAGTAACTTAAGTCTTTAGAGTCTTCAGAATGTCGTTCAGCAGAACTTTGTCTTCAGAGTCTTCAACACTTATTCTTCAGAAACTCAAGTCTTCAGAGCTTTTAGAACTTCGTTCAATAGAACCTTGTCTTCAGAGTCTTTAGAAGATAATGACTTCAGAAGCTTGAAAGTCTTCAGAAGTAAAGTATCAGAGCCATGATCAGAAGCAGAAACCAAAAGAGCATTGCAACAATAACATATTGTCTTCTTAGAATCTTCCTAAATGTGAATAGATCATAAGCAAACTTGCTTCTTATAGCACAAAAGCGACTTTGGTCAGATCAGATTAATCGTTGAATATGATCTCTATCAGAGTCAGAACCTGTTTGTTAACTTTTCAGAAAAACAAACATTAGAATATCAAAATTGTTCTCACACAAATATCACTTTGTTATTATCAAAACTTAGAGATATCTTGTAGAACCAAATCTTGTTCTAACAAAAAAAATATATAATGAAATTCATTTAGAACATCCAAGTGATTATAATAGCTGTGGATGCTCTGATTAGTACATGTTTTACATTTTAATGGTTTCCACTAATATATGATATTGGTAATTATTGAGTGATTTTTATGGTTTTTCATTTTTATGGTCCACGGGTAAAGGATTTAGCGATTTTCAGACTCAGTAAACACTTTGATTTGATCAATTGGAAGCAATGAAGATTTAGGGTTAAAACCTGCCCTTGTTGTGTCTGAATTAGCAGTCAAAATACTTGCAGCACATTTTGGAATTTAAACGATTTGCTATTATTCTATGATGCGCTATTTAGCATAACTATTTATTCTCTAAGCCAATAACCTCATTTAACTATCTACTCTCTAAGCCAATATCCATAAATGTTTGATTTGGGTCATATCTCCATCTATACAGTAGTGTTTCCGTGCTGATTAGGTGGTTTCATGTGTTGCAGAGAGTTGGGAACTGTTTCAACACTCACTATCAACCATTATCGACGGTCCTAAAAGTTCCGCCACCGGAAATCCATGTGATTCTTCGACCTTTACTTTGATATGTACTTGATCTGGTTTTATATTGTTGTTAACATTATTCATTGTTGTTCTCTTCATGCAGATGAGATCGTGAAACTTTTTCCATTTCGAATTCTATGATAATAATATGCCATTTCTGTATTTTACTCGGAAGATGTTTGTTTAACACATGCAGGGTTCTATTGATGCTAGAGTAGTTGTAGCTAGTTTGTCAACAACTTGTAGTCCAAAAATTCACAATCAATTGGTACAATTTTTTCTTGCATATATTTTTTTTGAATCGTACGGGTTGGTTTCAGTACGTTTGGTTCTTAGTATATCAAAATGGGATAGAACTGGTTGAACTGCGGTCGGTTCAAACAGTTCATTCTTTTATCCATTTTAACCATAGTTCAACCGATTGTATCAATTGAACTATAAATTGAAGGTTTTTCCGATTCGATCTCCAGTCCAGTTTTTAAAACATTGTTATATATGAATCTCTGCAGGTTGGAGTGGAGTCAATGCATAAAGATAGCAAGTATGTACTGTTTTTGGATGATGATGTTCGGCTACATCCTGGATCAGTTGGATCACTCACTCTTGAAATGGAAGAGAATCCTGAGGTATGCCTTAAAAGTATGAAAACTCTGCATTTACGCAGTCAATTTATTGGTAGTTATTGGATATGAACAGTCATGTCTCCATCCAATGACCACCGATATGTTGCGGATATGTGAATGTGTGCAAGAAATCTAAACTCAAACTATAATAACCTGGTTGCACTCTCTAACTGTTTGTTTTAATGTGTGACAAATATTTATTTAAATTGAATATCCTCTTGATTTGCCATATGGAGGTTTAGGAAATTACTGCATCTACGAATACCATATGGTAAACAACTATATCTAAATCCATATCTCGATTTCATACTAAATTGAACTTGATCGATACGATACGCGTCTATAATATGTGTTCCTATCTGTTATTTCTGTTTCACAGCCATGTTAAATGGGATTCGCCACTTGTGGAAAAAGATTCTTTTTGTGGGGAGGGTGCTTCGACTTTTTTCTTTTTCTTGGGTTTGTACAAAACGTTTTTGCATTCTAACTGTTTTTCTTCTCTCTAGATGCATGCTAAAGATTTTAGACAAGATAACTGCGATGTAGTCTCAGAACTTAAAAATGGTGGATATTCCAATGATATGATTCTTACAGCCATAGTTAGTGAGTAATTGATACTGTTATTAGCTTTTGGTTTTCATTTCTATTTATTTTGTTGTTCATTGCGATAATATTTTTGCTTTCAGATGCTCATAAAAAACTCATCACTTCTCCTCTGGTTGTCGTCTTTCTTCATCCACTTGCAAGTATCTTAATTTCAGAAGGTTTGTTATTCAGAATGAAATGTCAATTCCAATCATTTTCAAAGTAATGTTTTATTCTTCATTCTGTTATAACCTTGGTCACAAATAATCATTTTGTTCTTTTACAATTTTACTTGGTTCATGACTCTAATTCATGTGCATACATTCATCTTCAAAGAAAGGATAGGCATCATGGATTCAAGGTCAGGGAACCTTAATTCGTCTTGGTACCTTGGGATCATGTGGAGCGTGTCTTGGTTTTAGAGTTTAATCAAGGATTAAAAGTATAATTTGTCCATCATGAAAGTA